GAATCCTGGCCTGTAAATGAGTGTAGACTGCAGAATCCTGGCCTGTAAATGAGTGTAGACTGCAGAATCCTGGCCTGTAGATGAGTGTAGACTGCAGAATCCTAGCTTGTAAATGAGTGTAGACTGCAGAATCCTGGCCTGTAGATGAGTGTAGACTGCAGAATCCTGGCTTGCAGGTCGAGGCTCGGTTCTGGAGGACAGGCTGAAGTAACGGTGTAACAGCTCAGCATCTCCTCAGCTTCAGCGAACTGGTTACACGCGAACACATACGTTTAATGCTTAGACATTTAATAATTTATTACATAACTTTACCTTCATGCAGGGCGGGTGGTTCTGGTAGCGGGTCGAAAAAAGAAAAAAAAAGTCACTGGAAAAGTTCGAGGCCGATCAACTCTGTTTACCTCACCTGCYGTATCCGCTCAGACAGCAGGACCCGCCCTGCTCTGCTCTGATTGGCTAAAACTGTGACTCTTGTTCTTTTTATTGGTTGAAAGCAGCGTCAGTTAATTCATCACAACACAAGTTTGTTCGTTTTTTTCTTTTCTCAACAGGAAATGCGCTGCAGAGACAGCTGGGGGAGATGGAGAACTTTAATCACTTCTGCCCGATAAAATTTAAGAACTTTGAGTAACAAACTTAAGACCAACTTGCACACTTTTTTATCAAATTTAAGATGTTTTAAGGCCTTAATTTTAGATATGTAAATTTAAGACTTTTTAAGGACCCGCGGATACCCTGTAATCCAGTTAACAGATCATCCTGTAGTCTTCTGTCTTCTCATAAACACTTTAAGAAATTAGACTTCCATCAGTCAGTGTTTAGAAAGGAGACCAAGAGAAAAAAACTGATTTTCAGACTAAACTTCATCTTTTACCGCCRTCTTCAGGTAAGACGGTCCTTTTGGAGTTCTACAGCACAAAAGCTTAAGACAGACTTTGGACAATCTATATTTGTAGGCATTTAATCACACTTATGGCAGGACTTGTATATAATACGACTCCCCTTTAAATATTATYTCAAGTCTTTAAAATGGACTGATCATATGAAGGAGTAGAGCCAGGTTTGTGTGTGTGTGTGTTTGAGTTTTTAAAGTCCAGAGTTGTACTGCTTCAGTCTTCATCGCTGCCCATCTCTAAAGGGTCAAAGTCYGGGTCGTCCTCATCCAAGTCCAAGTCCTCAATGTCCTGGAAGAGTGACTCGTCTACTTCAACACTGTTTCCAGCTGCAGAGGAGGAAGACAAAAAGTGTGAAAACTGTACTACCATTCAACAGATCTTCTCTGATGAACCGACTGAGCTGGAAWTTGGCCTTTCTTCCCCCTGACATGTGAGGAAGCTGTGGTCGGACTTAAACTGAACATTTAGGCCATCAAGGACAACAAACCTACCACCTCCCAGACCTGCAAGAACAAGGAATGAAGCAAAACACAGAGAGGAGCTTGTTGGAGTTTTCTAGAGATTTGAGACAGAGGTCCACCTTAGAGCAGGACAGTGAGCCTAAATCCTCTGCTGAACTACTCCACTTGTTTAAGAACCAGGTAAAGGTCCTGGACTGGTCCAGTCCAAGTACTCCCTGTCACCTGTTGTCACTGAAAACACCAGTATCCTAGCTTTAAAGCACCATCAGTCCATCAGAGACAAATATCAACCCAACAGAGGAGATTTTACTGATAATCTGGTTTAAATGGTAATAATAAGACTTCCTTACCATCTTCCAGAAACTGAATATCTGATGTGTCCAGGTTATGATCCCTCTCAAACAGCTGTTTACCTGTGGAGACAAACGTCACGCGTTCTTCACTCTGCCTGCGAACAGGAAGTGGGAGCACAGGAACAGGTTTACCTGTGAGTTTGGGTTTTCCAGACTGCTCCTCCTCTTTCAGCCTTTTCCTCCTCAGCTCGGCCATCTCCTGCTCAAACTTGGCTTTCCACGCCAGGAAGTTCTCGATAGTCACCACTGTTCCTTGGAATGCTACCTGTTGAGGAGACACAGAGAACACTGCCAACAGACTGAGGACAGGACGTCCAGCTCAGAGTACCGGTTCTGGTTCAAACTGGTACCTTCTCTGCTTCTTCTGCCTCCCTCTCTTTCTGACGTTTCTCCTCTTCTCTCCTGTTTTTCATCTCATCCACGATTTCATTCAGCTTTTCCTGAATGGCTGTCACCAGAGTGAAGATCATCACCATGCCCAGGTTTTCTTCAGCCTACACACACATTACATATATCATGATGAATTAGGTAATAAAAGAAGGGAGTYAAATCTGTGATTAAAGCTGATTCTGTTGTAAATACATTTCTGTTTCTTTCTGACAAATGTATATAAAAATATTTAGTTTT